TCAAGGAGCAGACAGCCTCATCTTTCTCCTGTGGAGGGGCAGGTGGGCTTCAACTGCCACCCTTATGGTTAATAGTCCAATGCTCACATGATGGCGCGCTACTGTGAGTGTGAACTTTTTGAAGCCTCCCTGTGATAGTTATATAATCTGTTGTCAATTTGAGAGGATGAAGAGTGAAGGGGTGGAGGTTAGCCTGTCAATCAGGTGGCAGCTTGATGACCTCATTTAGACGAGGTAGAGAATAGCCTGCTGGAGGCAGGAAGCAGACTCACTCACTGAGAAACATTGTAGCTGACAAGACACATGGAGCTAGTCTAGTGCCCTGAGCTGGAGGAGCTTATAACTCCACTGGGTCTACAAGACTTACCACCCACTGGCCTGTGACCTTCCTGCATTTGGCATCATTGCATGTGTTTCGTGATTCTGAAGAGGACTTTATAGGTTAGCATTGGACATATGGGTTAATATCAGACTTATGAATTTATGATCTGGACTGGGGTGGGGCATTTTCTCAATATTCAATTGCACTTGCATATAAAGCTCTTTCTTATACACATTTGAGTGTCGGTAAATTTTGTTTCTCTAGTCTACCCAGATGAACACACTCCTCTATGGTGATGTAATAGTGCCCGTATTAGGCTGCTAACTGCAAGTTCAGCAGTTCAAAACCACCAGCCAACTGTTGTAAAGAGTTACAGTCTAGGAAACTCACAAGAGCAGTTCTACCCTGCCCTGGAGGGTTGCTATGCTATGAGTTGGCAATGCTGCTACTCAACTCACTGGATTTTTAAAAAAAAAGAAATTGTATCCTTCTAAAAACAGGATGCTAGCGTGTATATTAAGAGCTTAAATTCTGAGCATCCAGCTTGCAGAAGGCTGTGGGCAATAATGAAAGCCCAAACTTCGCTTGTAATGTTCCCCTGTGAATGAAGCCTCCATTGAGTTCCTTCTGACCCTTCACCAGGGATATGAACTGCCCTGCCCTCAGGCAGAATGCCTTGGAAAGTGGATTGCTTCCACCCTCTGACCAGCCTAGGGTGGGGCAGTCTCCTTTAGGGGCTTGCCTTGGGTGTCTCTTCATGGTGACTGCCATCGTGACAGCATGGTCATGAGTCATGCCCTGACTGCCTTGGTTGGAAGTCCCTGGGCCAATCTTAGAGCTCTTCTGTCTAACGTGATGTACTTGTCCCAGTCCTGGCCCCATACTCACTTCTGTACCCCCACCTGTAACTGACACACATCTGCCGACAGGCATGCTTATGACAGTTTCCTTTGCCTTTTCATGCCCTTTTTACATCCCGATTCTCTGGGATCCTGTTATGACTCATGCCCTCTCATCCAGATTATGCGTCTTTGTCCTGTCTTGGACTTAATAAACGTTCTGCTTAAGTTATATTTGAGGTTTGGTGATCTCCTTTTGTACCCTAAAACACATGTACTAAATCTATTGCTATTTATAAATTAATTGACATTAAAAAATAACCAATTGAATTTCTAATATGATAAATATGATCATTATCAATCAAAGTACCTTGAAGTCCCCAATAATTTTTTAAGAGTACAAAAAATCCTGTGGCTAAAAAAGTTTGAGGACTGCAACTTCAGAGAATTTAATTCTAGAGTTCAAGTTGTGTACCGGTAATGGAAATACAGTGTGCCCCACTAGCCCAAGGCACCATTGGTCCGAGGCTTTCAAGAAGGGCTAAACAAAGCTGGGTGGAGTGGGGGCGTGGAGGGGTGGATCCAGGAGCCCCTAGCCAAAATCTGTGGCGGTGCAAGTTTCTTACAGAAAGAGATGCAGTATTTGCATATGAAATACACATTTAAGTCCTGTCCACCTTAAATCATCTCAAGTTACCTATAATATTTACTGCGATGTAACCAGCTTCTGAGGGACAGCTCTGAGCACTTGCTCCCTGTGGTTGAGGAACAGTACAAACCCACCGATAGGGAGCGCCAGCTCTGTGTACTTTCTGGAATTGGTAATTTTCCTATTCTTTAAAGTGAGATAACATTGCAGACACTTCTTCAGCTGTGTCTTCTGTTATCATCGGTGATATTCAGCATTTACAAATAAACCAGGTGCATCACATGGGAAGATA